GGATGTATTGAAGTTGGTACTCTCTACTCAAATATTAACAGTCTGCAATAGTTTTACTATACACGCATCACTTGATGGAGGAAGTCTTCTTCTGCAAATGTACATGTATCCCACTGTGTAATTAATGACTACTATGAACAGTGCATCAACCCTATCAAGACAGCAATTGCTTTCCTTACAGAAATTTTCCCGGAAGTGATAAACATTCATTGCTTCTTCAAATTGGTCATACTTTCTTTCGTACACTGTTGTAAAACTTCTCAATTCAACAAATATATTTAGTGTGACTACGCACTGGTTATATGACGATTGATCCAATCTCATGTATGTTTGTTTTTAATCTTGATGAATACGTTCTCTGTTATTCATGTTCGACATGAGATCATATAAATAATAAAAAAAAAAACATTAATGCTATTTCAAATTGACTTTCTTTTTTCTAAAAGTTCCCTCTAACACTGGAATAATATTCATCCATTCTCACTAAAAGAATTAAAGTCAGTTCATAGACAGCGCACAAATATTACAATGAATAGACATTGGTCTCTCCAAAAACATTCAGAGGAGAGAGAAATAAAAACTTATTTCTTCCAAAAATTTCCAAACGACCAAGTTTTACTAGAGTACGACTAATTGATCCAGCATATACATATCCAGGACGACTCTGTACTTAGGGTATAAAAATTCATCCATCGTATCATGATTTGGTTAATTTTTATCCTGTTGATTGTATTTCCTATTATAAATATCAGTGATATGATCGATCCGGTTTAAAAATTTTTCGGTTCGGTTCCAAATATTCGGAACGAATTTCTATCCAAATATTTATTTAAATACATTTAACTTTATTCGAGTGCTCTTACATCTTTTTTTCTTATTCTTTTCTTTTCTCTCCGACCGTAATAATTTCAATGAATTATCACACTTTTCTTCTGTCCTAAATGTTAGGACATTCTAACAAAAGAACACGTTGGACGTTATCTTTATATAACATAGTCTACGCTGGAGTAGATGACAGTTATTTATCTCTCTCCTTGTGTTTCATTTACTCTCTTATGTATGAAAATACATGTATAAGTGATAGAAAAAAAAAGAAAAGATGATAATTCGAATAAAACTGAATTTCGGTTCAAGTGAACCGAAGATTTTACAAACATCAAGTTTCATTACACAGAGAGGGATTTATAACAAACATAGTCACTAAGAGTGAATAAAGAAAGTGTAGCTAATTTCTGATTTTACTCAACTACTTATTAGTTTCATTCAGTGTACCTTTTTACAGACTGCATTTCAGTATGAAGCACTCATATATGTATATAAGTATCAATTAATTGTCATGTTGTAATAACTCTAAGCGGATAACGAAAACATTATTTTTAACGTTCAGGGAATATATAACAATGAACATTTTAATTAAGAAAATATCACTTAAATGGTATTTCGAAATAGATCGATAAATAAAGCCTAAAAAGTCATTGAAATTGTTCATTTTGCGATGATGGGTAGATTATTTCTCTCAATTTTAGGTTCTCTTTGTTATATAAGTCTTCTAAGTTGAGAGTAGAACTGAAATTTAATAAAGTAGTAAAAAATTATTATAAGATATTACTTAATTTTCTTTTAAAATGAGTGTATTGTATAAAATGTAGCCCCTATATGTATATCTGCACTGAACGACGACGACAAAAAAATAACTTGAACGGCTCTTGATTAACAGAAAAAATTGACTAACCACTGAAAATAAACTAGATTTCTATCATTCAAAATTTCTTTTACCCTGAGAACGAAAATGCTCATGTCCTTAAGATCATTTCTACTACAATTTTCTAGTTTGTTTATAGAACTATCAATGACATTATCAGCATCTCTTCAATAAAGAATTTTAGGAGAATATTCTTAGAAAAAAATAATAGTTTTGAAACTTTTTTTTTTCTCCTTGATTTTTAATCGGTTCAGCTCTGTTTAAAACTTTTTCGGTTCGGTTCTAAAAAAAGAAGAACCGGTCCCACCACTGATACATATCTGATATATTATTATTTAGATAGCTTGTAACTAGCATTTCGATTGTTTTGCATTCTTTTCTTTTATAATCAACAATGTCAAAAGTTTTTTCCTGGATCAGGATCAATAGTTTAATTGTAAATAGTTTTCCAACTGTCTAAGGCTGACTAAATAATACTTAATTAACTAGCACTGAATGGGTGAAACATAATGTCTGATCTTTGGTATTTTTTGTTAATAAGAATATGCAAAACATTTGACATTCCTTCTATGTTTTTGGTTTACTTTTAAGAAAATTTACAATTTAGATTGTTTAGCTTTCCAATGAAAATTTACGGAAGAGACACCTGTTATTTATTAATCAAAAACATCGATTAGCTACTTATGTTAATCCGTTAAACAATTTGAAGAACAGCATATTCATCTTTCTAACTCATGGTTATGCACATGATTTTTAAGCAAAAAGACTAATCGTTTGAATCTGAGGTACCCTTTACATGAGTACCAAGGCTAGAACGCAATATTCAGTGAATGGAGATAAATTTAATAAGGAGTTGAGTTTTCACTGAGTGCTTTTGAGCAATTTTTTTTTCAACGAAATGTTTTAGACTTGTTGAAATGTAGTAATGCATTGTCAATTAATATAATGTTCAAGCTTCTGCATATCATACCTTGAAGAAATATTAATTTCAGATAACAAAAGTTTTTCTGCAGTTCTGTTGATTTTTTAGAGGAAATGTGAAGATAAAATAGATTTGTTTAAAATTTTATTGGCTTCTCTAGCATGTTGAGCTTGTGCCGTCCTTGAATTGATTGCATATTCATGTGAAAAAAGTTGCTCAGAAAAAATATTGATAAGAAAAATTGTGTCTCATTTGCACCCAAAATTTTGAATTTTTCAGGTATATTGGGCGTTTTTTGTTAGAAATGACGTTTTAACGACTTTTATGCATTAATTTAACGGAATTGAGCAGAAAAACGCATAAAAAAAGTGGAAAAAAATGAAAATGTTGAAAAATTCGACGAAAACACGATTTTTTGTGCGTTTTTTGAAACAAACGAAAAACACGCACAAATTTCGACTAAAAGTCGACATTTTAGTTCAAAAAACGTGAAAAATCCACATGTCTGTCTGCTTGGGTATGACTATTATCATATGTAACACTTTAATGTCTAGTTTTAATCGATGCAAAAAAATATGATACTGACTTATCACTTAATTTAGTATTTTTGTTTAAAATTTTCAAAATAATCATCTAATAACAACACTTTTTTTTTCTTCATGAAAATAAGAAGAGTGGTGTTCAGAATATATCAATTGAAGGCTAACATTAAAAACGGCTCAATATCTTTGTGCCATTTGATATCATTAATAATCCATACGTATAAAAAAAACAACGTACTACGTCATCACATGTTGTCTTACTCATTTCTTATCTGACAATCTATGACCCCCTATGCTTTTGATTAATACAATGTGCAAGCTTACTTGACAGTTAAAATCATCAGTTATCTTATTATTTAATCAGTTTAAATTGTAATTAACAAGAATAAAAATAATCTACGTCACATGAATCAACGATCTATCGATAAAAACAAAACGCTTATTTTTTCATCAAAGATTGTAATACAAAAGCCTATCGGATTTTTTTCTTTTGAAGTTGCTGGATTTTCTTTGAAAATCCGAATTTTTTTTCATATTATATACTCGGAAAGCATTATGATTTTGATCATATCAATTGAAACAATTGATTTTCAGCTGTCATTTGAAAAATGTCTATTCAAGATTGTGCTTGAGCAATGATCTCTTATATGAAAATGTCTGTCACTCTTAGCAATTATTTTCTAAATATAATAATAATGAAACATGCAGAGAGGATATGAGCCATCTATTTAATTGAATCTAGGCCACTTGCCCGCAGAACATTTGCCCGCCGAACATATGC